TCGAGGTGGTCAGCGAGATCTCGGAGAGCTTCGATCAGATCTCATACCAGAAGGGCTCCACTGTGCTGCGCATGATGCATCTGTTCATGGGCGAAGAGTCCTTCCGTGCCGGCATACAAAACTATCTGCGCAAGTTCTCCTACGGCAATGCCGAGCAGGATAATCTCTGGGAATCGCTCACCGAGGCGGCACACAAATTCAAGGTGCTGCCCGACGACTATGACATCAAGCGCATCATGGACTCATGGACTCTACAAACGGGGTGAGTGCTGAGTATAATATATCTTAATATCCCTTTACATCCTTGAACTAGGCTATATTGCGTCTGTATATATCTAAAGATAATGATATAGTCGCATGATTTAAACAATTATTTGTTTATACTATATATTTTAACATTATGATATAAAAAAAAATTTTAAAAATTTCTGAGCGACATTGAGAGTCGAATTTCATTCCAAGCTCCGACTTCATTTATCCTTCGGATCCATTGGATCTATAAAGCTTCAGATAAAAAGTCTGTTAAGTTTGAGATGTTCAAAAAGTTATATTTTTCCAAGATCGCAATTTATTTATTCTTTAATACATATTTTTTTTTTGTATAATATAATATCTGTAGATAGGGATTCAAACAACAAATATCATGGAGAAAATGGGTTCCATTTGGATATCAAAAAAAGTTGGTTTATTCTAAAGAGTTTCATGAGTTCAAAAAGGCAAATCCTTTCAAGATCGGACTTAATTTGCTCCAGTTATATTTAAAGATTATATAAGATCATATATTACGCTGCTTTGCCTGGTTATATCTCCCTCACTCCTCCTGGCATAAGCTCGTCATGTTATTGTAACAGATATATAACTGAGGACTATTCCCATCTATATCATTTTTTTTATATCTGAAGATTATTCTTGATAATATCAATTTTTTTCCTCAATATTTTATAACTCTTTCTTGTGCCCGGAATATACTTATATTCAAATATTCTATCCTCTTCAATCCCAACAGTTATCCCATCATCAACATAACCCGCAACTATTTGGATGGCAGCGCCCAGCTGTTGCAGGAGCGTTATCTGCTGAACACACAGATTTCGCGGGACGAACGTGAATTTTGCTGGTGGGTGCCGCTGAGCTACACGACCCAAGCGGAGCAGGACTTTAAGAACACGGCGCCAAAGGCATGGATGGAGTGCGGCAGCGCTGGCGAAATGCTGCCCACGAAGATAAAGGGTCTGCCCGGCAAGGATCAGTGGATCATATTCAATACACAACTGTCGACGCTGTACAAGGTGAACTATGATGAGCACAACTGGAAGCTGCTGATTGAGACGCTGACCAACGGCGACTTTGAGCGCATTCATGTGATCAATCGTGCCCAGCTGATAGACGATGCACTGTATCTGGCCTGGACGGGCGAACAGGACTATGTTATTGCCATGCAATTGATTGACTATTTGAGACGTGAACGCGAGTATTTGCCCTGGAAATCGGCCTTTGAGAACTTGAAGCGCATGAAGAATATTATCCGACAAACGCCCAACTATGAATTCTTTAAGGTTAGTTGAGTGTAATTCGTTTTGAGCTAGAGCTCTGCATCGTGTCAACCGAAATGCGTTTCGGATACCTGGTCGAGCTAGTCGAGACTCGAACTTGTTCGGCTCGAGTCGTTCGAGTTGCACACAAACAAGTTGAGTTGTTCCAGTTGTTCGAGTTGCAAGCAGACAATTTGAATCGTTTTCTTATGCATGCGTGTATTGTCTCGAACATGTTCGATTTAACTCGAGCAGGTCGAACTACGTTTGTATGAATCATTTTATCGTTGCTCGAAAGCTCGAATCAACCGATGCAGAGCTCTTATTTAAACCCAACTGCAGCCTACATAATCCACAGTTCTCATTCTGATTTTCATTTGCAAACACAATGCGGAAACAAATCCATAAAATAAAAGCTGTTTTTTTTCGTAAGTCCACTAGCATAGCAAGCCACAGAATCCATTTCGAACTCTGCTCAAAAGCAAATCGAGCCACGTTTTTTATATTCACTTTCTTGTTGCATCTCTCCACAGCGTTATCTGCAAAAATTAATAGAGCCCATTTACCTGCACATGAAGGGACTGAATGACACCTTCAGCAAGGTCGAGCGCCAGGATCAGGTGCTGCTCAAGACCATGGTCGGCAACTGGGCGTGCCAGTATCAGGTGTCCGACTGTGTGCCGGTGGCGCAGGCCTATTATCGCGCCTGGCGCGGCGAAAAGGAGCCGGATAAAAAGAATCCGGTGCCAATCAATTTGCGTCAAACGGTTTACTGCACCTCGATACGACATGGCAACGATGCCGACTGGGAATTCCTGTGGACGCGCTACAAGAACTCGAACGTGGCCGCCGAGAAGCGGACAATGTTGTTCTCGTTGGGCTGCACGCGTGAGGTCTGGCTGTTGCAGCGTTATCTAGCCTTGACCTTTCAACCGCAAGAGGGCATACGCAAACAGGACTCGATGTGGGCATTCCAGGCGGTGGCCTACAACGAGATCGGCTTCCATTTGGCCAGGGACTACTTTATGTCGAATGTGGACTTCATCTACAAATTGTGCGTGCATAGTGCAGATTTTATTTATAATTGTAACTGTAAATAATTAACTATAATTCCGCCATAGCTATCATCCCATTACCAAGGACATGTCGCGCCTGTTGCCGCCAATTTCGGAGCAGACATTCCTGCAAAGCGATTTCAATGACTTCCAGAGGTTCGTCACCGAACACAGGGCCTCGCTGAAGGGCCTGGAACAGGCCATACAGCAAACCCTGGAGACGATGCTCACCAATGTCCAGTGGAAGGAGCGCAACTATAAACAGGTCTCCACCTCCATACGACACGTGCTCCAGGGCTAAAAAAGAAAAAAAAAAAAAAAAAAAAAAATATACAAGGCGTTTAATTACACGCATATCCTTAATTAAAATATAATTAGTTCTCAGCCAGCCCTCAACAGCTCATTGAAATCTCTCTGAATTTAAAACAAGTTCCAAATAAATTATATTAAAATAATTATGTTAAACATATTACGGGGCATTTTCTTGAAATGGGATAGCAGATCTGAGCTCTTGCTGGATTTTTTTTAAATAACTTTAATGGAATTTAAATATAGTTTATTATGGCTTATCTGAAAAGCGCATGCATACCAGATTTTGCTCTAACTAGTCGGACATGCCTGTCTAAGAGATACCCTCTAAATTTATTCTCTACATAAAAACAGCAACTTAAATGCTGTGTATATAACGAATCACAAGGAACTAACTTTCAAAATCGAATTGCTCAATTTTTGCTAAGAAACTTGGCAATTTTCCCAAAGGTGGAAAATGTATATGTATAAAATCCACATACGAAGTTTGGTGTATCTAGCTCTTATAATTCTCGAGTTAATCTAAAAAAAAAAAATAATGTCTTAAAAGCGAATTTTAACGATATAAGGATAAGATGAGAAATCGGAGAACTAATATAATCCTGTGCTGAATTTGGTATAGGAGAATATTTAGTGCAAATTTTGATTTATTCAGAAATTGGCAGGGCAAGTCATCCTAATTAAGAATTTAGGTCGACGATAATTTCTTCTGCCCGTCACATAAATGTTGACAAAAACATAATACCCATTTGGCCCGCTTTTAATGGTTTTTAAAGGGTATACGAAAATTTCTGAAAGGAAATTTGAACTCCAAAAGCGAGCGGGCATTATTAAGATGCAAACATATACATATATAGTATTTTGTATATTTCGTATATTTAGTTAAGCATGTTCTTTAATGCTAATCAATAATAATAATCATAATTAATCATAATAATAATCGTAATTGGAATCAAACGGCGCTACTTAAACACAACTGTGTAAAGTTCAATTGTTGCTTTTTAGTGTTTTTGTTGTTGTTGGATTTTTTGATTTGATTGGAATTATTGTTAAATTTATAAATTACAAATTTAATTACAAGCTAAATAAATATGTATGCATGTCTGTGTGTGTGTGTGTGTGTGTGTAAATGTTAATATCACTAAAGCAGCGCTCCTGAAAAGCAAGAAACTAAATTGTTAACTAAAAAAGCTAAACTGATTGCATAAAGTATTTATTATTTTTGAAATTGGTTTTTTATTTTGATTTATTACAATTAGCGTACGTGTATGCGTGTGTATGTGTGTGTGTGTGTGTGTGTGTGTGTTTACATGCATGAAGTTGTGTGTGGCTTTTATTGTTGCTATTTTTCCTTCTTGTCTAGTTTCGTCATATGAAAAACATCAATATAAACTATTTTATTTAATTTTATAACAATTCTCTGATTGATTTTTAATTACATGCACTTTCGTGAGCGTGTGTGTGTGTGTTGTGTGTGTGTGTTTGTTGTTGTTCTGCTTCTTCTTCTCTATATGTTGTTGTTGTTGTCAATTTCCTTAATGAAAAGGCGTTTTATTGGTATTGCATTAAATTGTAACAACTATTTAACACTTGATATATGTATGCATGGGCCTATATCCTTATATATATATATATACATGTATATATATATATATATATAGTTGTTATGTCCGGATGCATTGATATCGATTCTTTAAATATGTACGTATATATGTATTTGTTGATGTAAATGTAGAACAAAATATTTAACTACTTCTTGAATTACGAAATGTTTGTTTTTTACTTTAAACTGCCTTTAAGCTTATTTCAATATGAAAACTATGCACAAAACTGAACTATTAGCTATAGCCAAAATTGTTTAGTATTTTTCTCTTAGTTAATATTGAGTTGAGCTTTTTTGTTGTTTATGTTCATTTACAAACTGCTTATCGAGAAATTGTGTGTGTGTGTTTTTTTTAACGAGGCGCAAAACAATATTTGATTAGCGTTCTTAACGTGTTAAATTCGTGTTGACAATTTTAGCTGTGTTCTTGTTTTTCTCTTTTGTTTTTTTTTTAAATTGTTTTTGTAACAAATGAATATAAAATGCAGTTGTTATGTTGCATTTCTTTTTTTAATGTCATAGAAAAGTAATAGCAACAATATTTAATGCAAAACACATAAATTAAAACTAAAATAATATAGAGAAGAAATAATTAAAAGTACAACTTTCTCAAACTGAACGCGAATTTGCATTCTAAATGCCATATGTCGAATTGAATTGAATCTTTGTTAGCCTTTGGGCTTTAACTGGACCACTAGCCTACATGGTTTTAGCTGGCTTCAGTCGATAAGGTTATTTAGTTTTAAACAATTTTCTTTTCGTATATAAGAGCTATTAAATGTAGTTTCCTTTTTTTGTTTCCTTTATGCATGTAGATAAACGATAGAGCTTAAACGTGTACATTGTTTAACAAACAGACTTCTGCTTCAACTTATGCGCACACTTGTGTGACCTAAACTAAGAGACGTATGTATATGTTTGTATATATATATATATAGATGTGTGTGTGTGTGTGTGTGTGTGTTAATTAATGTAAGTTCCCATATAGCTGCTCTCTATGCATATAGTTTCTTACTTAATGCTGCCTTTGGACACATCCGTTTTACATTTGATGGCCAGCCGCAGCGTTGCAAAAACCTTTCAAATCTTGTGCAGGCCACCTTGCAGGCTATCATTCGACCAGGTGCTCTGCGGTGGCTGCGCCGATGCTGCTGCTGCTGCTGCGGACGACATCGCCGGCGGTGGTGTTGGCGTCGACGATGCGCACGACTTGGGCGGCGTCGTCTGCGTCGGCTGCTGCAGATCGAATCGTGCATAGAACAGCAAATATGGTGTTATTGTGATTTTGCGCGTCGGCGACAGCAGCTCCTCGAATTCACGCTGTGTCATCGCCTTGATCTTATCATCGTCGCACATATACCAAATGGGTTCGCTGCTGCTCTGTGCATAGTTGGCCTTGACACCGCCACGTCCCGTGCTGCCATAGCCCGTGGGATATGGCGCACAATTGTTGGGCACGCTGCCATAGCTGAGATTGCTGTTGCTGCCATTCTGCAGGGATTCCTCGCTGAAATCGCTGCTGCTGGCGCTATTGCTGCCCGCGGTGCTGGCCTGTTGGCTACAGCACAGACGCATGGCGCAACAGTTGACGCCATGGCATGTTGTGTTCATGCTCAGCTTGCCAATGCCATTGGTGATCGTTTTGCTGGTCAAGCCATTTAGTTGCTTCACATTTTTGCTCATGTCGCCGCTGCTGGATGCCTTACTGCGTCCAAATTTCATTTTCTTTATCAAGCTGGTGCCCGACGAGGCCAACGCCGAGGCGGCCGCCGAGACGACGGGCGTGCTGGCAATGCTGCTGCTGCCATTATTGCTCGGCGCCGCATTCTCATTGCCAGCTGCCGCTGTTGCCGCTGACTGCTGTTGCTGTGCGCTGCTTGTTGCATTGCGACGATCCTTGGGACAGTTGACATAATCACTGGCCAAATCCAGAAAGCAGGTGTATGCTATATAATGACCCACGGTTAACGTGGCGCCCACATGCGTGATAACGCTGTACAGCTTATAGACATGCAGCTTGTTGGCATCGCTCAGCTCACAGCACTTGGCACAGAAGCAGGGCAGCGTGAATGTGGTGGGCACATAGGTGCTAACCTTCTCCATGCCGCCCGAGAAACGATTCAGCTGGATGACCAATAGACGCGGCAGCACCTCGTACGATATGGAGCGTATGGCCTCAGTGTACCCCGTACACTGATTGCAGCTGTATTTATTATCGCCGCGAAAATATTCACGTGTTATGCATGAGTTCTGCAAAAAAAAAAAAAAAAAACAATGCCAATTAATCATGAATGAAAAGCTCCAATGGATGCCCACTTACCTGTATATAGGCGCTGGGTTTTTCCTGCAATTCGGCATTGTCATAGCCCGAAATCGGCACAGGTACTGAAATATCGAGCATGCCCTGCTTCTGACGTGTAATTGTCTCACAGCTCAGGCATTTGGTGGTCAGCACCACAATGCCCTCAAAGTCGGAGCTGAAGAAGTTTAGATTCAGCTCACGTATACGCTCCTCCAGACGCATTTTATCCTTAAGCAGACTAGCCGTATTAATTTCATCATCACTGGAATATTTTGCTGGTGCGTTCGATGCAGCTGAAGCTGTTGCCGCAGCGCTGGCGCCGCTGAGATCGACTGTATTCAAATAGAAAAGACTATTGGAGGCGGCGGCATGTGTGCTTGCCATGCCACCGCCGCCGGCTGTTGTTGGACTATTATCCTTGAGCGGTGACTGCAATCGTGTCGCTTTCGAGGATTTGACTTCGTCTTTTCTCTTTGATTTGCGTGAGAAAAATGATGTTTTTGTTGTCGTGGTACTTTGAGTTTGACTAGTTGCTATAGAGCCATTGCCAGAGGCGCCCATCAGCGCATGATTGCCCGCATCCGTGCGGTCCAGTGCATCAACCGTGTCCGTATCATCTGGATTGGCAATGTAGCTGCATAATTAGAAGCAATTAGTCAATTATCCAATGTGACCTGCAGAGCTCAACTCACCCATTCGCAATGACTTCTGGACATTCGCCAATGGCCTTGATCAGCGACTGATTCGTTTCGCGTATACAATTGAGTACGCACATTAGAAACTCGTGCGCATCCTGTTGCTGATTGCCCTCGAAGGTGGCATTGACATCCTGTATGGCATGCAGCAGGGTGTCCGCATGGTAGGGCTCACTCGAATCGATCATCTCATTGCCGTGCAGGTTGTTATACAGCTCATGCAATTTCTCGCTAACCGATTGATGTGATGACTTTCTGCTGCCACTGCTGGTGCTGTTGGTGCCGCTGCCGCTACCGCTGCCGCTGCCATTGCTGGTGCTGCTAATGTACGGATCGGCGTTGGCCAGATCTTTGCTGCTCCAGCTGCGCGCATGCTCTAATTGACCACCGCCGCTCACATTGCGGCCCAGCGATGCCGACTTGGCATTGTGCCGGCGCACTATTGTCTGCTGCACCACATGCAGATCATGAATGAGATGATGCAGATTATGCAAGAAGTGCGGCGCAAATCGTAGCGTATACACCACGGAATTCAGATAGCATGTATTGCCAATATTACACAGTGTACCCATGGCGGGCACATGATTCAGAGCCGTAACCCCACTGCCATTGAGTCCGGGGCCAGTGGGTGCGCCGCTTAAATTGCTGCCAGTGGCGGGCACATAATACTGATGGCTCTGCAGTTCTGGTGTATCGACTTCGGGTGCACCGGCTGCATTGCCGGCACGCAGGCCACTACCGACTGGTGCATAACCATTGGCCACGCGCCGCTGCTCGTCATTGGACGTCTGATAGCGTCGATCGTATAGGGACATGTTGCAGCTGCGTTTGCGTTTATGAAAGGCGCGTGACACCGGTTTGCCCGAATCAAGCTCAATTTGAGCTGCCGCAATGGCCGCCGCTGTCTCCGCTGAGAAATTCAAATCTAGCTCAATCCTGTTGCGACGCTTTCGGTTACGACCGCCGACGCCGCCGCGTCTCTTTTTGCCAGTTAACTTTGGCTCCGGCTCCTCCTCAATGCGATTCCAAAACTCTGGCTTAAAATGTTCTGCGAAATGCGGATCCAGTTGTTAGCAAATCGTTTGCAAAGTGGATTTACTCCAACCACTTACCTAGTTTTATATACTTATGATACTCTGTCGCCTCTGTGGGCGTGGGTGATGTCTGTGCCGATGGCGGTGGCGGTGGCGGAGCTGTTGTCTCCGATGTCTCCGGCACGAGTACCTCAACTGGCGCTGCTTGACGGGATCTTAGACTGGCACAGCGCGAAAACTCTGCCACATAAACGCGACGCTGACGTTTGCGCTTCGGCACCACCTCAACGCCTTTGGGCGCTGGCGTTGGCGGCTGTACAACTTGATCCACGTACTCCTGAACTGCTGGATAAATGGCCGAGTATGTTGAAGTTGGCGACGACGGTTCGTCGGTGTCTGTGGCTGTGGATTTTGTGGAAGCTTTCGTTGTCTGTATAGTTTCTGACTTTGGCGAAATATTCTTATGTTGCTTGTTGTTTGGACTTCTGTTATTGGGGCTGGTGGTTGGCGGAAGACGTGCTTGTTCCTCTTTCAGCTCATATATGTCATATTCGTGCATCTTTCATTATCCTGCCAAGGTCACAAAATATGCAATATAATTTCTGGAGCATGTTATTTATGTGTACGATGACAAATACTTAGGCTTAAATGAAAATGCAACGAGAAAAATGTTCACGGAAATAAACATAAAATTGTTATAAGACAGTGTTTAACAATTCTTTAAAAAAAAAGAGGCTGTAGGTGTTGTAAAAAGCAAATTAGATATATTCTTCGCGTATATAACTAACAAAATTGTTTACACTAGCAAAAAATAAATATGTTTTGGTACTTTTATATTGGAGATAAACATTTCAAAATATGATTTAATCCCTTTTATTGTAATGTGCTTAAAATGAAGTAAATAAAATATAAGCATTTACATATACATAAATATCTAATGTACCATTTAAATAATAAGGTACCGTTTTTGGTACATTTGCATTAGATGTGGCAACCTTGAATGCGAATGATATTGGAATTCGAATTAGATGGTCACTCTGTGTTCGGTTATGCTGTTGTGTGCGTACCTTGCCTGTCGCGTCAAGAGCTTCATTTATGGCCACAAAGCTCTAATCAATATATAAAAGTAGTTTGCACGGCTATTGGCGTGGGGTTTTAAGTGTGGCTTTCAGGCAATGCCATTAGCCGCAAGCAAATACACGCGTGAATATTATTTTTTTGTATGTGTGTCGATTGGGCATTCGTCAGAGTTAACAGTCAAAAAAACAGTTGTCTGATAAGGTGATAAGGAATTGTATAATAATCGACCATTAATCTTACGCCTAGGTGCTTATGATTCATTTAAACAAAAACAAAAACCTAACGACAAGGGGGGCTTGCATAAATCTGAGAAATGCGCGTGGTAAGCCCTACAAGCTTCCCAGCCCTGACTGCAGATTGAAATCACAGTTGTGAATCAACAACAAATCTTTATTGCTTACTGTTAGATTTGATTCGTGGTCACATGTTTTTTATTAGCTAAAACTTTAAAATATACAAATGTTATTCAAAACTATATAAAGAAAAAAGGAACCATTTTCTAGAACCAGATTCAGATTGAATAAAATACCAATTTTGTTAAATATGTACAAGATGTGGCAACCCTTGCACTTGCCTACTCAATTAACATTGCTTCCGCTAAGCCGGGCGTATTTTCAATTTGAAAATATTACTTGTGACCGCACACGTCTAATTATGTAAAGTCTAAATTGTGGGGTCGGCTGCTGTTGCTCTTGATGACAATTGATGGCGGCGAGTGGATAGCAGGGGCCAGAGCGGGGTTGAAGCTAAGCTTGGTGAGGTAGGCCCGAGCAATGATGGTGGGGGCGGGAGCCAGAGGTCAGAAATCAACAAACAAATGGAAACGCGAATGAAATGTGAATAGAGTGAACGTGAACGTAAATGTGAACGTTAAATGTGTATATTGCTATTGATTTTGTTGCTTGAATGAAGGTCACATGTCGCATAGGCTGCAAATACATATGACAAAAAGAGCGCATGATAATGTTAAGGTTACACATTTACACGACGGCAATAAGACGTGTTGAGAGAGCCCAGCTACAACTACAGTAAGGAACAACAACAGCAAAGTAAACAGTTATAATAGATGCGGAAAAAAAAAACACAAAAAAAAAGACGTTTTTGCAGTGCAACTTTGCTGGATGCTGTGACATTCATTTTGCAAGCGAGTAAGTGTGTGCGTGTGTTTTTTTTGTTTGTCCGTATTTAAATGCAACTCACATATTTCGGGAACAACATTTGCGGGCAGTTGCTATGTTCTGTGTAGCGTTGCTTTAAGAGAAAATAAACAAATTCAATTGCCGCTGCCAATTGTCAAGAAATTTCACTTGGAACGTAACGTAGCGCAACGTAAGACGCACGCACACACACATGCAACGGTCGCCGTACTCGCTAAGCTGACACCATACTCTCGAATTTTCACTTTTTTTTTCACTGCAGCGGTATTCGTTTTACAGCCCAGGACTTTTTGTACCTGTTTAGAAAATGTTTCTTCACTGCTGCACTTCAGGGCATTGTTGCGTTGCTGCACTTACACATTAATATTTATTTTATTTATAGTTTCATGTGTTTTTAGGCACTGAAATGTGTTAAACTTATGCGCCGTAAGCGTACGGCCGCTCTCGGTGGCAGATGATAAACACTCGTTCTTTATTTACTCGTTACAATTGACAGTATTTAATCCCAAACATGCTCCTCATTTAAAAGAAATACTGCCTGACAGAATCGCTCCACACGTAACATGGCATGTATTCGGCTATGGCAACACTGATTTCGTCTTCTTCTTTCTCTCCGGCAGAAATCACGATGTCGACTGGAGTAAGTAAAAAATTCGTCGCTTTAATTTGTAAAATATTGTGTAATCCTACAATAATAATTGCTAAATTATTGCTCAACGCGTACAGAATATATTTTGGCAACTGCTAATAATTAACTTTTACATGCAACATGCGTAATTGCAGACGCTTTACACTTATCCCGAGAACTTCCGCGCATACAAGGCACTTATTGCGGCCCAGTACTCTGGCGCAAAGGTGAAAGTGGCCGACAACTTCTTATTTGGCAAGACCAACAAATCCGAGCCATTCCTGAAGAAGTTCCCCAGCGGCAAGGTGAGCATATTAACTTAAGCAATTTTTTATGCACATATACATATAAATTTTTATATGGGCGTTGGGCGTGGAACAAAGAGCTCAAAAGCCGGCATTGCAACGTCATCAACTAAAAATGTTATCTCCTTCGCTTATATGCAAATACGAATTTTTGCAAAAAAGATTTAGTAAAAGACAGATTTTGCCATTTAAATGATTTATTAACATTTAATACATGCCTTTGCTAGCAAAAGAAAATTTTTGCAATTAAGCAACGTTGTGCTGCCGGCCTTTTCATAGATGTATGACATTTTCGACAATGTGGCAGCGCTTGGAATTTCCTAATTAGAAATTTGCAACATGTGTTCTTTTAGGTGCCAGCTTTTGAGACCGCTGATGGCAAATACTTAACCGAGTCGAATGCCATTGCCTTCTTTTTGGCCAACGAGGAGCTGCGCGGTGGCAAATGCCCCTTTGTGCAGGCTCAGGTACAGCAATGGGCATCATTTGCTGACACCGAAATCTTGCCAGCCTCCTGTGCTTTGGTATTCCCACTGTTGGGCATATTGCCGCAGGAGAAGAACGTCGCTAAAGTGAAGCAGGATGTGGAGGTTGTGCTGCAGCAGCTGAACAAGAAGCTGTTGGATGTTACCTACCTCGTCGGTGAACGCATCACTCTGGCCGATATTATTGTATTCTGCACCCTGTTGCATTTATATGAGAATGTTCTGGAGCCTAACGCACGCCGTGATTATGTTAATTTAAACCGTTGGTTCTTGACCATTTTGAACCAGCCCCAGGTTAAGGCTGTCCTCAAGGACTTCAAGCTGTGCGAGAAGGCGCTGGTCTACGATCCCAAGAAGTATGCTGAATTCGTGGCCAAAAATCAAAATCAAAAGCCCAAGGAGGAGAAGAAGCCCAAGGAGAAGAAGGAGGCACCCAAGAAGGAAGTTGAAGAGCTCGATGCTGCCGATGAGGCATTGGCTCTTGAACCAAAATCCAAGGATCCATTCGATGCCATGCCCAAGGGCACCTTCAACTTTGATGACTTCAAGCGCGTTTACTCCAACGAGGATGAGGCCAAGTCCATTCCCTATTTCTTTGAGAAGTTCGATGCCGAGAACTATTCCATCTGGTTCGGCGAATACAAATACAACAATGAGTTGTCCAAGGTGTTCATGTCGTGCAATCTCATCACCGGCATGTTCCAGCGTCTGGATAAGATGCGCAAACAGGCATTCGCCTCAGTGTGCCTCTTTGGCGACGACAACAACAGCACCATCTCCGGTGTGTGGGTGTGGCGCGGACAGGATCTGGCCTTCACCCTGTCACCCGACTGGCAGATCGACTATGAGGTCTACGACTGGAAGAAACTGGATGCTAAGAGCGAGGAAACCAAGAAGCTTGTTACCCAGTACTTCTCATGGACCGGCACCGATAAGGACGGTCGCAAATTCAATCAGGGCAAGATTTTCAAATAGATTGCAATACAAATTCTCCGAGATTCAAAATGCAGCAGCTGCAGCAGGCACGATGCCTATTTCTAAGTTCCAACTGATTAGTAATTATGAATGAGAGTCGAAAACGTCGTGCTGTGTAAACACCTTAAATACATATTGTCCTGGTTTGCTCAGCACACCGAAATTTTTGGTATTTCATGTTTCAGCCTTCTGCATTTTCATTAACTGAAGAATTGTTTTGTAATTGCGTTTAAAACACACACACACACACACGCATTAGATGTTGAACCGACCAGGCATCTAATAACTTATACGGGAATTAAAATAAATATGCGTTTTCTACTACACTCAAATGAATATTAAATACGGCTAAGATGATGTGCTATACATAGATTATACCTATCCAATGGCATTCTATTAGAGTAGTCCGATTCTGATAAGATATACCCCAAGATAATCTAATTGGAAAGATAGCCTGAAGGTCGAAGCAATCGAATTTGTTAAGAATGGTTCCCAAGGAGCTTTCCTACATATGTGATAGGGAGTCGGGCCTCTCTTTAAAGGGCGAGTTAGGAACTGAAAGATGAATTTGTACAGAATCAGGCAGGGGGGAAGACGAAGGTTAGCGAAAAATTGGGGAATTAAAAACGGTTTGAGATATCTGTGTGAATTTGATTCATTTAGGCAATCCTTATTGGCATATCTTGAGTTAATGCGATCAATTATTGCTTACAGTACGAATAGATTGAACAAAATGTTAGAATTTAAACAATTTACGATTGCAAATTAGCTGCAGCTCTACATGAATATCAACAAGGAAATGCTAGAAATGCGATGGACCATCGCGGGAGCCAGGCACGCGTCACTTTTTCTTGATCACAATCGGTCCGACATTGTCGCCCGTGTCCTTGTTGTGAGCGGCATGGCTGCCATCGCAGTAGGGCCACTGTGTAGCAAAGGATATTATAAATTAGATGGATTATACATATATTGTGCAAATTGTGTTGTGCTACTCACGTTCTTGGTCTTCCAGCAGCGGCAAAAGGCGGCCTTGTCCGCAATATTCTCGATGTCAATCATGTCCACAACTTTAGCCTCATGTTTGCGTACGTTTTCATTGCAGAGACCGCTGCCGGATTTGCATGTGCGGTGCGCCTTGGGATAGAAGGCACGGTACGTGACATAGCCGATGCCGACAACAACAGCGGTGGGTGGAATGAGTGCTAGCCAATCCTTAACTGCAACAAAAAACGTTAGATATATATTTTTGAAGCAGTTCGGTTTAGTTCTTCAATGAACTGATATGGGCACACGGAGGGGTTAATATCCAAGTGCCAGTTTATTAAATTTCTGTTCTATACCAAAAATTAATATTATCTTCAGACTAAATTGTCTGGCTGAAGGATCTGTCCGTTGTGGGCGCTTTTAATGGGCCGTAACTTTGACTTATCAAATTGCCTCTGGTTTATCTATGCAGCAGATAAAACAATGGCAAGCTTTTCAATTAAAAATGCCCGTTCTTTACACAAACAACAAATTTTTAGCAATGGCGCGAGTTTGACCCAAATGTTGCATAATAATTTTGGCCCAGGTGAGCAGCTGCAGCTGGGATTACCGCTGTCTATGGGCACTAATCGAGGCAAGCTCATGTCACAAGGCCACAGGGCATAAACGAAGCAAAGCTTATGCCCTTTGGCTACGTCATTTTATCTTTTAAATAGTTGCATAGTTATTTAGGGCGCCCTTTAGTTCAATTCCAATGTTCGAACACGCGTGGCACTCACATGATAACTTAAACCAGCCGCCGAAAGTGTCGGGTACCGGCAAGCTGGACAAATAATTTGGCAGACTTGTTTTAACGACCTGCGAGACTGATTGCATTTTTATATAAATTTTTTTCTGTATATTTATAACACAAATGAAGTACACAAAAAAAATCTGAAATGGGTTGTTGTTTCAATTGTTGTTGTTCTTGTGAATCGGTGTGGCCGTAGTTGAAAACTACAAAAATACTTATTATTTTTATTAAAAAATACCAAAAGTTCCAAATAGTATAGAAGAAAATAATAGAATGTACATTTATATTTGCAAATTCATTTGTGGTGTTAAGAAATTAACAAACGCGTAAATTACATGGTAATTTATTATTATATATAAATTATTGCCTAATGTTATTTTGATCATACAACGTAATGCTACCACCAATAGCAAAGTTTAGTTCACGGACCTAGTAACAGTTACTTCGAGACTGCTCATCTCTAACAGTGCATACAAAGCTGTGGCGAAATAATTGTTTGGTGCATTTAAATAAAAGTATTGTTAACAAATGAGCCGTACTCCGCTGGACACCTGGTCCAAACGCGAACAATTATGCCTGGCCTCGGCAGTATCGTGCAGCGGTGACCAGAACTGGATAACAGTTAGCCGCACGCTAAAATCGGTTTGCGGCAATGGCAACGCTCGGCCGGCGGATTGGTACTCGCAAAAGAATTGTGCCGTGCAGTATGGCCACCTGCTGGAAACGGTGGAGACAACCAAACGCAAGAAGCGCACTAACGAAAGCAGCAGCGGCTTCTCCTCGCCGGCCACTGTGGCCGTGGAGACGCCCACAGAGCTGCTGCTGCGCCGGCTAACGGAGGAGCGTTTGCTGGAGATCAAAACACAGATGCGTCGCGATCAGGAGCTGTATAGCCAGGTGCAGCGAGAAATCGAGGCACTGCAATCGGATGAGATGAGCGAACAGCAGCTGCAGCAAATGTGGCAGGAAATCGAAAAGGAGCAGGAAACCAAGCGTATTGACGAAATGAAGCTGGAGAATCGCATGCGCGAGCGTGAGCAGCGCAAGAAAGACAATTCGGGCAACTGGCGCAGCAACACTGGCAGCGGAAGACGTTCCAACCTGGTCGCAGACACAACATCCGTCGACATGGATGTGGAGGATATTGCAGGTAAGTCTCTTAACTTTGTTTGAGTGCAGAAAGTTGGACACGATGTAAATTGAGAAAAAGTTGAATCCCAATGTGGCCAAGCTATTTGAAAGCACACACTGTCCCGGCAAGAAAGCTGTTCCTGTAATCTGTAATCAATGCAAACTAATTATAAACCTACTTCCAGGCAACAACAACAATAACAAGCAGCCGGCGGCGCCCGCGCCTTTGTTAACATCGCTGCTCAAATCGCCCGGCGGCAGCAGCGGCAGCAGCAGCAGCAACGGCAACAATGCCACATCGCCAACAGGTAGCTCAGGTGGAGCAGGCGTGGCACGAGCGACGGCAGCGGCACCAACGATTACCTCGCTGCTGACAAGCGGCGCCAGCGCCATGCCCAATCAGCCGGCGGTCATATTGAAAAGTCCAAACGACCCGGCGTTTATGACGCGGCCCATTAGCGGACCACCTGTAGCTGAGGTGGCTATAACTGGACGCAGTCCCTCACAGGCAGCACCGACGCTGTCCATGCTGCTGGAAAAGAATAAAGTAGCTGGTGCCGCAGCAGCCGGAACTAAGGTAAACGAGACGCCAGCTAAGCCTGTGGATGATGAGCTCAACTCCAGTCAAAAACAAGCTGCAGCAGAGCTGGACGCAGCGCCAGCCGCGGATGATATCGCAGATGAATCGGACGCCGAGACACAACAACTGCTTGAGGTGTTCAAGAACATGGACGACATTATAAATGATATAGACATTGATATCGCCGGCGTCATTGATGAAGAAATACTAAAGGATGTGGACAACGTGGTCTCACCCGTTGCGCCGTCAGCCAAAGCTGAGGTAGTTGACTTTGAGGGCAAGCTGGATGCGTTAAAGAGTGACGAGTTTGTTCCATCGCCTACCCAGCAGAAAGCACAGGAAGTGGTTATTGGTTCCAGTGATGACTCCAATGATAATATACCGCTGGCAGCCGTGGCTTCGCAGGAAAGCAAAGACCGCAATCAGCAGTCTGTCGAGAGCACAGAGACAGCTCCTGATGAAGCGGCTGTCGAGGACGAGCTGACCGAGACCATTACAATTGCCAGCAGCTCCAGTGAGGATGCAGTTCGGGAACAGACCTCAGCTGTGGCAGTGGCCGATCCGGTGGAGGCAGTGGAAACGGCAGCCGTCAAGTCGCCTGCGGTTGCCAGCGACACAGTCGAGACTAGCAGAAAAACCGAAGAAACTGCTCAGTTGGCGGAGCCAGATGCCAAAGCTGGGCAAGCAGAGGCCATTAGCGAAGGTAAGCCCAAGTATAGATTCAAAGATACCCACTCAAGCTTATGTATTACTTGCAGCGCCCAAGCAGGAGCCCAGCAAGGAGGCAGAGAAAGCGGCAGTCGAGGCAAACGCAGAGCTAAAAACGCCTGGAGCCACGGCTGCCAGTTCGGTGCACGACACAGATGAGGAATCCTCCTCGCTGACAGACAGCAGCAAAGCGGATGAGCCCACACGCCACAGCGCCAAATCATCCAAGCAACACACTGATAGCAAACCCGATGCCGAGTCCAGCCACATGACGCGACAGACGCCGCCCCGCGGCTCGGGTATAAACAGCACACCGGCACCCGCACCAGCGCCGGTGCCGGCACGAGCGCCCTTGCTGCGCAAGTTGCCGCATCGCGATCGCTCCGAGAGTCCCATGGTGGATGATGACACGACAACGGCCAGCGATCAGTCGCTAACGGCCAGGTCCAGTACGCGCAGGCGCTGCTCCTCTACGCCGCTTATAGACAGCATACCCAATTCTCCGGCGTCCAGTGAGCACACCGATGATCGTCGCGAGACGCGCGGCGCCTCCAAGAAGCACTTCCTGGCCATTTACAGCACACTGCTGGAGAGCAAGTATGCGTCGCCCTTTCGGCGCGCCTTTCACGACGAGCATCCGCACAAGCAGACGGATCTGTGCCTGCGACCCATGGACCTGCCCACCATCAAGCGCAACATCGACTCCGGCCATCTGCGCAGCATCAGCGAACTGCAGCGGGATGTGGTGCTCATGTGCCAGAACCTGTTGCTCATCTACAAGCCACAGACCACGCAGCACAAAATGGCGCTGTTGTTCATGCAGGAGAGCCGCTGCCTCAAGGAGTTTGCCACGTGCAGCCAAACCACATCCGACAATAGTTCCGCCAGCAGCACCAGCGGCAGGGCGGACAAGGAGAAGGACAAGGAGCGCACGCCTGCTGGCAACAAGGCGCGCAGCGGTTCACGCAAGAGCCAAAGGCATCATTAGACTAAGATTAACATAAATCCAAATCAGAAAATTCACTTGATAATCTTTCTAACTGGTTCCAGCTCCCATAATAATGAATAATATCATTTCCCATAATATAAGTTTACAATTTTCATTGATTAGTTTAAAAATGTATTTTAGGCGAACTCTTCGTAAACTCTTCTATATATATATAGGAACATAACGAAATGGACTTTCGTTTAGCAGTGTTAACTACTATTGCAGACCAGTGTTGTGTAAGGTCCATTAAAAGAAAAGCTGAATCCAAGTTTAAAATAGCTATTAGAAATAGCTAAATTAGCTATAAACCAGCTGGAAAGGAATTGAATTGCTTGGCATATTAAAGCAGGGAGCTGTAGGTTAATCAAAGTATATCAGATTTTGGAGTCTTCTGGTGCGCGACGAGCGGCAAATGGCGCGTCGGTTCGGGCAATAGAACTTGCGCAGACAGCGGGAGAGCCTCAGATCACATTGGCACAGCCGGGCCGCACACGAGTCCGGGCCACCCCACTCGCCGTGATCGATGGCGCAGAGCGGCTTGCCGCGATAGCATTTCCACACATAGGGCACAAAGTATTCGAGGTAGGAGATGCAGTTGCTCTGGCCATAGCACTTGTCGTGCAGGCGGCAACAGCGATCGATGCCATCGTTGGGCACACCATGGCCACCAAAGCCGCAATAGCAGCCGTAGCCCTTGTAGATCAACGGATCGCAATTGGTGGAGCACTTGATCATCGAGTAGAGCTTGGCCACGTCCCGTTTGCCGCGCTGCGTCTCATTGCTCCAGGCCCACTTCATGGAGTAGCCGAAGGGATCGTTGGCGCGCGCAATGTACACATTCTGTGCATTCAGCAGTTCCTCGCGTTGCGCCTCCGCCGGATTGGCAGCTATGACGCGTATGTCCGTGACGCGTCCATCCAGCTGCTGGCCCCTCAAATCCAACAGAATCTCAGTGCGCGGATAATCCGGCAGCGGGTAGCCTAACTCTGGCTGCTGTTGTGCTGCATCCCTGTGAAGCGAGATTTGGGCTAGTGCTCCGGCCAGATCAGCTAGTCTATACTCACTTATGTGTCTGCTCCAGCCAGCCCGCTGGGCGCTCCAGCTCGCCCGTCCAGCCCGGCAGGCCCAGCTGCTGCCATGCCCCTGAACTGGACTTGACCGCATGCGTGCTGCCCTCCACAATTATCTGCGACGGCTTGGTGATATTCGGAAAGATTGGTGCCGCAAAATCGGATCGCTGCATTGTCAACAGCTGCTCGTTGGGCATTTTGAAGGTGAAGCTCGGATTCGCATTGGACATGCTGGCGCCGTACATTTCCGGTATCAAGTGCTCCAGCAAGGCGCTGTCATTGGTCACAGCCCTGAAGGCGTTCCATATGTCATCCACCACCATGTCGCCCAGACAGTGCAGCGGCAGCAGCAGCAGCATAGCCAACCACATCTTACGGAGTCGGAGGACTGACTACACCCAAAACTGTTGGTCGATCCGCACGAGTCGAGCGGCAATCAGAAATTGAAACAAGTCTGCGAAATGCGGTAGTCAGCCGCTGGCCACTAAGTGTCCAACAAAAGAAACAAAAGGCAAATCAAAGACACCGACCTTAAGATGCCCTGCAAAAGCGGTCGATACATGCAACAGTAGCCAAATCAGCTTAAAATTGCAGCTATTTCTGGCTGACAATAGCCAATTATAGCTAGAGAATCCTTGACTTGGCTTCACTCGTTCGTATATGCCTTCTTCTACCTCATCCCATCATACAGGGTATTATAAATATGAAGCACAAATAGCTAAATCAGCTTAAAATTGCAGCTATTTCCGGCTGAATAACTCTGACTATAGCCAAATATAGCTGGAAAAACCGTGAATTGGCTACACTTTTTCGTGGATCCATCTACCTCATTGTAAAGCAAAGATACCCTTTTCTTGGACATTATCAATGTGTAAAGGGTATTCAAAAATTAAAGCGTAAAATGTTCACATAAATAGCCAAATCAGCTTAAAATGGCAGCTTTTACCGGCTGACAATAGCCAATTATAGCTAGAGAATCCTTGAATTGGCCTCCTTCCACCTGTTACTTGCGTTGTCCCAAAGCAAAGATACCTTTCTTTGCATTTTTGTACAGGGTATTATAAAATTGAAGCACAAAATATTGAGAATCGTTTTAATAGCACATTCACAAAATAGCTAAATCAGCTATAGCCGGAAAATCCTTGAAAATCCGCCTGTTTCATACATAGTCGCAAAGCAATGCTACCTTAGTGTTCAATGTGTACAGGGTATTATAAAAATGAAGCATAAAATGTTCAAAAATCGTGTTAATAGCAATAATAACAATGGCCAGCAGCGACTGTGGCTGCGTTGCCGACGGATTTGGTGTGCGAGAAGTAAACGCATAAAACCAAATAAACAAACCGAGTGTGGCACAAATACGACGCCGTTAGAGGTGGGTCAGTAACCGTAACCCACATTGCGTATACGCGCACAAATTACGCCAAATATTTTTCGAGCGTGCTCAAGTTAAGGCGAAGGCTAGGTCCAATCTAAGCCATGATCAGTTCATGGCCAGCAGCATTTTAGGGCTTTCAATTACCAAAAATAAAAAAATGAACCATTTACTAGCTAGGGTTGGGGGTGGGTGGTTGGTCTGCAAACCGGTGGCAGTTAGCCAAACAAAATTGCAGCGAGTTAATGCTTAGGCCTTAAATAACATGCATACAGTATATACTTTTATATACGTACTTATGCTGTTTACCTGTCTGCCATTGCACAGGTAATTTATTGCGGTTGCCTGCAACGCCTTCGTTACGTTGGTTGCATGTTACGTGTGCGAGAAACAGCAACGCATTCAAACTAAAAACAAATCGCATCATGTCAAGCTCAACTCGAGCCAAGCATTAATGAAAATGCAAGCAAAACTCTTCAAATCACTAATACATATGTTTTTTTTTTACATTCATTAAACGCAGCGCTTAAGGTAATTATTGCATTTAATTAGTTTACAAACAATTTGAAAAATGAGTTGCGCGCGTAATTGAATTTTTAAATTGTTGCTATCGAAACGATAATCGAGTTGGTTGTTATCGGTCAGATCGGCATGCACTGCTTAGTGCTGAAAAGTGCCACAAGCTGGCGCTATGCAGCACCAGAGATTAATCGGCTTATCTATCGATAGCTATCGCCCTGTTTAAGTTGCTTTAAGCGGTTAGTGAAAAACTTTAACTTGTTTGCTTCCATATTATTTGTATTTAGTTGCTTATCTAGTGCATCTGCTAGTGTGCCCTCCCCTGCGCAAAAGAACACACACATATCAATGTCCAAGCTACTTCTTCCTGTTCGGCACGCAACATTTAAGCCAAGAAATAAAAGACAGACAAAATGCTTTAATAAATTGCGCAGATATTTTATTTTGATTTAATAAATGTGATTAGTTTTCTTGTCCGTCCGGCCGATTGGACAGCACAGAACATAGTACAAGTGGCCGCTGCAGCATCATCCTCACACGGGCAAACGGAAATGCCGCGCATTGGAACAAGCATTTTTCCAGCTGCTGCTGCCTGGAAGAGTCTTCGTTGAGCAGAGTTCAAGTTGCGTTGTTCTGCTTTGCTCTAATCGCTGCATTGTCATCTTCTTGCTTGCGGCGATCGACCGAGCGTCCGCTCACTTCTCGCCCATTTGACGCTGCAATTGCAGGCATAGTGCTTGTTGTTGTTGTTCTTCTTCTGGTTGTTGTTGTTTGTGGGAACGAGCACACAGCTATTTTCAAATTGGAAAGGTTTTGCACTTCGCCAACGCAGCCAACTCTTTTTGTTCGCTTTGTTTGCGGCTTCGCTGCCGCCGCTGTTGCTGCTGCTGTTGTTACAGGCAACTTCTTTCTCGTTAGTTTGTTATTTTAACTATTATATCAATTAGTTTTAACGTTTGACGGCTACGCCAGCTTCAACTCGACGCTGGATTGCGGATGGAAGGAGGAAATGGAAATGGGAAAGCCGCGCAGCAGCAGCTACGAAGTTCGAGGTTGAATTTTGCGCCGTTGCAATTCACTGCGCTTGGCTTTCACGCTGGGGTTGAAACTCTCAGTGTATGCGTGTGTGTGTGTGTGCGTGTGTGTGTGTGTGTGTGCCTGCAAATAGCAGCACTCTCATTTTGAAAATATGTAAATAACACACAACAACAAACGTTACTTTTTTATTGGCCTTCCAGTGCGTTGGCATTTCAATAGCATGAAGAAGGAAGTAAGCAGCGAGAGGGTCGCGCAGCGTTCAGGGTTGAAAGGTGTTCCGCCGGGGCTCTTTTGTGCGCGCGCGGCAACTGAAATTTTACTTTGAACATTTTAAATGCGGCAGGTGTTACAGTTAGTTGCACTGTTAGACTCGTCGCTTGCCAACACTGACAAAAAAAGAACAGAAGAAAGTTAAAACAGTTATCTTCGCATTACCGAAATGCCCTTGCAAAAAGAATTGCGATATATGCCTAGGTTTTTTTTTATATATGTATATATGCGGGTCGATTGGAACTATGTGACATTACGATTTCTGCACAGATATAGGAAACATATGAAAGAGTGTAACAAATTTGGTCGATCTTATCCGTATCACAATACGATTAATAGAAATTAGGCAAGTGAAGCTTGTACCTACTTTTCGACCGACCGTGCCTATGGCAGCTATATGATATAGTGGTCCGATGTTGATAGGATTACCCTTATATATGAGACGCATAGTCGAAACAGAACGTACAGTCGGCTGTTAATGCTGATCTAAAATATATATAGTTAATGGGTTTGAAAAAGTCAAATTCTATGCGTTACACATTTCGAGACAAACTTATAATACCCTCGGCCAGGGTATAAGAAACCGTTATTCTTGGCTGCTTGTCGCTGGGCGCGCATGCGATTGCGACAGACAGCGCGCCCGCAGGCGCAACTGCAACAACCCCCTCGTCGATAGGTTCACACGCCGACAACAACAACAACAGAGGCAGCAGCAGCCGCCGTCAGACTAGGCTCTAAAATTTATTTGCAGCGTGAGACGTTTGTCAACGGGCGGCGACAGCGACAATTCGATATTCAATCGCGTGTCGCTTGGCCATAAAAAGCAGATAAAATGCCCACAAATCAGGCTACTCCAGCAGCAGCAGGGAACGGAACGGCGGCATGCGGGCAATGGGCAGCCAGAGGGGTGAGGGGAGGGAGGGGGGGCGTGTCAGCCAGCATGCGTTTAGACTACGGCTGCTGCTGCGGTCAAATTGCTGCAACTGGCAGTGCCAAAAGGTCAATAACTTCCATCTATAGATTCTTGCTGCGGGTGAGCGTGCGCGCTTCGGCTTGTCATTTTATGTGGGTCACGGGTCAATCATGTAATATAATCATCCGTATGGACGTCTATATATAACTGATTAGTGCTTAGGGCATAGCCCAAATCGGAAGCTAATTTCATTAACACTATTTATATTCTCACAATAGTTCAAAAGTTGAAAGGGCTTTTAACTCTATTTAAAAGATATAGGAAAAACAATCCGATTGGAAATTAGTGGAAAACTGCAATTTCCAAACTTTGTTCAAATCGATTTAACAGAAAATTGTGCAAGAAAAAAAGGCTTTCAACTTACCCTTAAATATAAACAGCTTGAAGCAGATGTTTAATCATTCGTGATCGGAAAATAGGTGGAATATTGTAATTGCCAAATATTATAAAACTAAAAAATTAAATATAAGCGACTTGTGGATTTTTTTGATCTGAAATAGGCGGAGAGTTTTAGTTGCCAACTATTTTACTTCATTCGATGTTAAATATATTTGGAACAGGTTTTAAATAGATTTCACGCACAAGAGTGAAATACAAACATGAAACTTACTTTTCAATCAAAAACAACTTGAAGTATATTTGGCAAAATCTACGTTTGGAAATAGATGGAAAATTTGTAAATGCAAATTCTATAAATTTCTGAAATTGAATTTGATGACGTATTAAAATGTAACTGAGAGTTGTTCCATTTTCTTTTTAAATCTGTGTTTGGCATCAAATCCAGATCTTGCAAATCCACGTCCATGATCGAAAGCTAGATGGAAAAATGTGAATTTTTTTTTGTCAGCTGTTGAGATAAGTTCTTAAGTTAGTTTATAACTCATGTAAACCTTTTTTTGTCTGCCTTAAAGCATTTTAAACATTACATATTGTTCTTTTAAGCGAATTCACGTTCACGATCCAAATATGGGTGGAAATAATCAGACACTGCATCTATTTTTCATCCACAAAGTAATCCATATAACTAAATGGATGTTCTTTAACAATTTGTGGACTGTACGTAGACTTTTCACCAGCCTTTTTCCTATGGCCAAATTATGTATTTAATGTCCGTTCACATTACAAAGGAGTTAATGCGTTTTGGCTAATTGACGTGTCCCGATGGCAGCTACTCCTGGCCGCCAGCCCCGCCTGATTGCTCTCCTCTTTATTATGGCCTCTTGGCCATGTTTTTCTTTTATGTGTGTGTGTGTGTGTGTTGACCCAACTTAATAGACGAGCATGAAATCTAGTCACGAACTTAATCATGAACAACCGTGCACTAGATCCATGTTCGCCGACAAAATAGAGTCAGAGAAGAGCAAAAGAGCGAAACAAAAAAAAAAAAAAAATCAAAAATCAGGCAGCAGCTGCAGCCTCTCCCTTTCTCTCGCCAAGCTGAGGCATTTGATCCATCCCATGCCATCCTGGAAGCAATGATTATTGCCAGTGCACGACTTTCTGTGGCATTTGACTGGTGTGTGCCTCCGCCTGCTTCTCTCCTCCTCCTCCTACGGCACATTCACCTTCTCCTGGGCCTCTTGTGGCTCCTTCTGGTGATTGTTGGATTTCTTGGTTTTATGGGCTTGGTTCGGTTTTTCGGTCACTTTTTTTTTTTTGGATATCATTTCATGTCATTTTGCTCGTGCCTGGCAACTATTTCAATTGGGGCCTGTTTTGATCGGTTTTCATAGCTCAATTGGCTCAATCAGACCCCCGCACACACCCCCCGCTCCCGCTTCCTTCTCTTCATTCGTGCGCTCGCTTTTTGATCCCGCGCGTATTGTATACACATTTGCATTTGTATCTGTGTCTGTATGTGTGTATTTATTATATGAATGAATCAAGCTTCAAGCTTCGAATTAAGGTTTATTATTTTTATACACTGTTCGCAACGTGAAAATGAGTATATTGGATGTTTGCCAGTTTTAGAGCTAGATTCTCGAATTCGTCGGATTCATTATTGGATGATCTCCGCGAACACAGTTTGACAGCCGCTGGCTGGGGCTTACAGTTTTACACGCAAGAACTTCTTAATAATAGTATCTTTACGATTTGTTTTCAGCTTTGAACAGAGTATCGCGCAGTCGTTGACACCCCGCACCAATATTTCTACTTGTCGGCTTGATTTTTCTGCTGATTTGTAGAATATTTTTTGCTACCGCCCTTTGCCTTCAGCCGCCCTCAAAGCCAGCGTTCGATTGTTTAAGAATCGAGGCGTCGCTGCAGCTTGAATTTCTGCCCGATCTGCACAAAGTTTTCAGTTTTCAGGCCACACAATTCAACGGAAATTACTGTTTACTCAGACACTAGTTGTTTATTTGTATATATATATATATATATATATATATATATATATAAATAAGATCGAAAGTTGAAGCAAGCTCTAGCTTGAAAACTATGCGACACATTAGGGAAACAAAAGTTCCAAGAATTTTTAGCAATTTGTTCCGGTAGCAAAACTATTATCGTTACCAGAGCAAGAGGGCGAAACCAGAAAGAGTTGGAGGCGGGCGTTGCTGTCTGTCAGTAATCTGAGCCCTGCCCTGACAGAGACTGAGTGCCACATAGCAATACGAAAGTGTTGTTGAACTCGCAGCCACTTGAAATACCTATACTTAAATCAGAAATTACGAATAAAAAAATATGTACAAATTTTTAATACAAATTTTGCTCAATCTTCTATAAAAGTTGCCACTTTTCTACAAAATATATTTTATTTAATTTTATTTTTTTTTTTTAGTTTTTAATTTTCTCTCAAATATATATTTTATTTTATCATATTTTAATATGAACTTTTTTTTTTGCAACAAATCAAACTTGGAGTCAAAATCTCAAATTATTAATAATGAAAAAATCGTTTTTGATTTATTAACAAAAATTGTACCTTTTTTTCCAATCTCCTCAATTATGTTACAAAATATTTGTATTTTTAATAGGCCCCCCCTTTTTGAGTATTTACAAACAGCGGCCACTCGAATTTCTTGGGCCCACTTCAAATTCTCCACTCTTTCCAACTGGTAATTAAATTTTTCAAGCATTTGTTGTTTGGCTTGAGAAAAATAAAATGCTTTTGTTGCATAGTTTTAGCTGATTCCACACAAAATCATACACATTAGCATTAATTTAGTGCGTGTAATTAAGACTCACAAAAAAACAACAACAACAACAACTCTTGGGAAAGACATCCACATTATTTGCTTCCTTTCACACACTCTCTCCCTCTCTCTCGCTCTATCTATCTCTCTTTTACACATACTGTGACAGCTGCTAGAGCACAATTCATTTCGTTCTGTTTGGTTGACTTTCTTTGTGCGTGTGCGTGAGCGTAGAGTTGACTAATTACCTTTTCCAATACCAAGTAAAAAAAAAATATACAGAAACGTCATAGTCGGGTGCAAATGCTGCGCCATGCTCTGTAAAAGCAGCTGAAAATAACTCGAAGATAACTTCTACATTGTTAGAGGAAGACAAGCTGGAAGACTCCACATTCAATTGAACCAAGCCAATATACCCGTTATAATTCAATGAACAGAGTATACAAGTGAAAACACATTGCCGTTAGGTATTGTATATGCAATAGTGTTGCTAAACGCACAACTGAACTGATAAAAAATGAGCTGTCAATTATATTTTACAACCCACATTTCGTTGTTATTAAATTGATCGTGTTATTCTCTCAATTTGGCCCGTGTTGTTTATTTGCTGATTGAACTACCGTTGTTAATGAGTGTGGATCTAGTCACAAATACTTGAAAAAACGAATGTGAAACACTGGACCCTCACTCACTAAAAACAGTAGTACGCATATTCGATCCACTCGTTCACATTGTCTTACCATTTTTGGGGCGTCCACTTGCTCGGCAGTGCTCTGGCATTTTGTTCGCCTTGTTTTATTTATTATTATTTTTATTTTTTTTTTTTTTTTGTTAATTTCAATTATTAAGCGATAGTGCAAAATAAACTGGAACAACAATAACAAACCACGCCGCTGCCACTACTTTTTTGTGTTGATAAGAGCGACAAGCGAAGCAGCGCTGCTCAGTTTTCTTCTAGGCGTTACGTCGCTTATCAGCAGCAAATGAAGCAAACACACAGCAAACACACACTCTTAAGCATGTATATAGTGTGTAAGTAAATAGATGTATTTTCCCGCCTAAACAAAAAGATCGTTGGCTTTTAAAATTAAAAATTGAACTACTTTGGTGCAGTGTGGCAACGCCACGAAAGAACCGCTTATTTGCAAGCGCAATATAGAGAGCGCACATTTATATACATGCTGTGTATGTGTACATACCGATACATACACACACGCACACACACATACATGCAAAAAGCAAAGCTTACACACGCGCACAGCAACAGCAAACGCTGCTATGTCTATATGCATGCATTGGTGAGTAACGATGGCTGCGCTGATGGCTCAAGTTGATAGCAGCAGTTGTTGTTTTTGTGTTTGTTGTTGTTGTTGTTTTAGCTGCTGCTACTGCCGCTGCCGTCGCTGCTTTTATTTCTCGAGTGTGCCTTGTCTTCGTCGCCGCTGTTGCTGTTCTTGTTGTTTTGTGGTCTCTTATGGCTGCCTCGATTTGAAGAAGTATGGCGAATTACATACACGCACATGCACACACACACACACATACACACAAGCACGCACGAGGGCAAAAACTCAACTGACTATTCAGGCATTATATTTGCCAGCAGCACAATTCGCCGTCGTTGTTGCTCCCTTGTTGTCAATTTCATTTCGCAGATTCAGTTTTATTAAATTGTTATTGAAATTAAATCATTTCTAATTAGACGGCCAGCCGACTGATCCAACTGTAAACGCTTCGTGCATCCGCTTATTATTTCGGTAAAACTGATGATGCCCGTGTGTGTGTGTGTGTGTTTGAATATGTGTGTGTCTTATGTCTCAGTGTGCGTGTCACTCGCCGTGTAATCAACGGCAATTTGAAAAAAAAACTGCAAAAACAGGCAGCGCTACACAATACGTATATATACGTACATACATATGTATGTATATTTTGTGTGTACTCTCAAGCACGACTTTTGCATTTGTTGTATTTTACATATTAATTCAGTTTAATTTAATATCGTACATGAAATGTTTGACGCTCAGATTGTTATACTTTGCATTGAATTGACGGACGAAGATGGCGGACCGCTCCGAATGGCAATTAATGCAACAGGCTTCCACATTTTTGCGGTTAGTTTGAAATTTCGGCAGTGTACAGTTAATTATATTGCTATACATTTGTATGTATCGGATCACTCATTGAACACACGCACACATACTCACGCGCGGCAACCGACAGATAAACACGCGTTCAAGTTAAAGTCGTTAAAGGTATTGTGCTATTACTGTATTTGTTTAAATTTTGTTGCAACTGGTGTGTACAATTTTCTTATGGCAAAATTGCAATCGTACGGCGACTGCGCAGCTTAGACATAAAAATGCATCAGAATCAACAACCACTCGCAAACGACGCTCTTATAAGACTAACTCGAAGTTAAGCCATAGACACACTCTATAGCGCAGAGCAGTGGTTGGCATTCTGCTGCCGCTGAGCAGCAGAGTCAAAACGTATACATGTACGCTTAACGTTGAGCGAATTAAGAGCGCGGGCAGAGCAAGAGAGTCGTTTTTCAAACGGACGATCGTTACTCACCAACACACAAACACGATTGACGTGCTGCCAACGCGTGCGGCATAAAATGCTCTCCAGTGTTATAAAAATATATTGATTTTTAAGGCATTGTGAATGTTAGGCTGCCCTATAATGCATATCTTAATACAGCTTAAGTGCACTAATTACAACTCAATCGAGTTTTAAAATATTTAAATAGTTAAATTTCATGGAGTTGGCAGCACACACTCACACAAAAGTAACAAGCAGCGGCCCACACACATACTCAAACACGTACATACATAGTAGAATTTGAGTGAGTTGCGCTTGCGCTTGTGTGTGTTTGTGTGAGTGTGTGCGTGTGTATGTGTGTGTGTGTGAATGCGTGTATGTAAGCAATCGTGTGCAAATGATACAAAGAAGAATTATATCAAAAGCGAAAGAAAATAATGATGACGCAGTGAAAAAATTATATTAAAATAATTACAACAGCGCGTTCAACTTGGACTTGGTAAAGACGTTGACGTCGACTTCGACAACGACGCGTCGCTGCCGTTTGCTTGTCGACGCGCGCACCTTTTAACTGCTGCTGATGTCGTTGTTGTTGTTGTTGCTGCTGTTGCTGTTTCCTTCCAGCTATCGTTAGCGGGGTGGGTTTCTTAAAGAATTGTAGTGAAATGCTTGGGAAAGGTTTTTACAGTACGTTCAAACAGAAAATGTACAGACATGGCCACATGCCTGTGTTTGTATACGGATAAATACATATGTATTTATGTATGCATGTGTATGTGCTGTGCATTGAATGTACATATTGTGTTTATGCATGTATGTGTGTGCGTTTATCTTTACGCGATTTTATTTCTTTCTTTTTATTTTTTTGTCAATTCTTTTTTTTTTTTGCAAAAGGTAGGGCGAGACACTGAGCAAGGGTTCGTGACGTCAACGCACTCGCGCAGCTGTTGCCCGACCATCAGTCATGCAGTCAGTCAGTCAGTCAGTCAGTCATTCAGTCAGTAGTCGTCTTCTTTTTGCGTCTCCTCCAGAGTTCCGCATCGATTATACAAAACAGCCAGCGGGCGCGTCCATCATTTTCATCAAGGTGACACAGTTTGGCAACGTCTTCAACCCGGCGTGGTCAATGAAACTGAGTAGAAATGTGGCGAAATGTCTCTTGAAATATTTAATTCATTTCCCGCTTCCTTCCTTAATTGATATGCGCCCACATTCACACCTCGCACCTCCATTGGCTGGCATTCGCGCGGGCGTTGTCCACACGTCGGTTATCCAAAAGATTTCTTTAGAGCTTCAACCAAGTGCTGAAGCGGTTAGGAATAATGTATTTATCCAATTGGAAATTGAAAATGAATGAACTTTCCAGTTCGGAATCAATTGAGATACGCTGGAGTTGGCTTCTTCGGGTTATTTTCTTAGAAAGTATTCAAATTACTTTTGGAATATTTGTCAAGAGGCACTTTAGAGGCACATTTCTTTGATATAAAAACAGAGATCGATAGAATTTCCATTTCAAGAACATTGCCAACACGCTTGCAAAGGAAAAGGAAAATGTGTTCCAGTGTGAAATAAGGCAAAAATAAGTGTGTTGATTTCCATTTCAGAAACACTTTCAACACTAACCCAAATGGAAATAGATGCGTTATGCCAGTGTGGAAAAATGCA